ATCCAAATGGTGGTTGTCATAATGGTGAGGAAGGGATGCCATAGAGAATACACAGGAGGGCACCCACCAGCTTCAGTTGACAGCAAATGCTTCCTCAAGGAGGCTTCTAAATCAACATCCAAAGAGGAGTATGATTTAGCCAATGTGAGGAGAAAAGTCAAGAAGGAAGGCCAGAGAGGCCAGATATTTGTGTAGGGAGTATTTGAGGAGGAAGGTTGAGTTGGAGACAATGACCCCTTTACTCTAGAGTTTCTTATTCTTTTGTCCCACTAATTTTCTATGCCTCTGCTCCATTTTTCCTAAGAGCCAGCTTCCTCATCATTACAACTCCCCAAAATTTCAAGTGACATATGGCCTAAGCTTGTTTTGCTGCTAAACTTGGAAAAATAGATCTTCTAGAGCCACTACCCACCACTGGTTTGCAGCTTAGTCTCTATTTTGTTACTTCAGAATCTCATAAGAAATTTCAGTCTGCTGAATTCAGATTATGGGTGGTTTCCAGTTGCCTCAGGTCCTCCACCCCCAACCAGCCACAGGTGGGACCAGGGACAACATGTATCTGCTAAGGTCCACCCCCTTCAGCAAAATGGGATAGAGGGTTATTTAAATAAAAAAGAGTATGTGTAGAAGACAGTGATGGGGTTATCTAGTGTCTCACCACGCAAAGTGTGGTTCCCAGACCAACAAATCCGCAACACCTGGTAACTCCTTGTAACTGCAGAGCTTCAATCCTCATCCCAGATATAGTGAATCATAGTCTTCATTTTAATAAGATCCCCAGGGTACTCATGCACACTGAAGTTGGAAAAGCACTTCTTTCATCCACTATCTATCTCTATGCTAATGCCTCCCAAACTTATATGGATAGACTACTGCAATGTGGCAGGAGACAGATTACTCACGAAGCCATTTTTGAAGTGAAGTAACTCATTCGTTTCGTTTATAATTTGTGTTTCACCTCTTCTGTTGTCTCCCCGGTAAAGTTGTCAGAGCAGTATCTTGACATTAAAACACTTGGAGTTTTGGAGTACCCTGATGCCTGGGGCCACACCCCAGGCCCGTTAGATACAAATCTCCAAGACAAGGTAGCAATAGTTCTAAAAGCTCCGCCAGATATTTTCTGGTGTACAGCCAGAGAACCACTAGATTATGGACAGAGCATCGGGCTAGGTAAATGGATCTGGAGTTCCACTGCATATCCTCACTCTCCCATCTGACAAGTCAGTAGCCTAGCCTTTGGAGTCCACACACCTTGGTTTGAATCCTGACTTACCCCCTCACTAGACACATGAATTTGAACAAGTTACTTAATCCCTCTAAACCTCAGTTTTTACTTTTGTAAATAAGATGAAATGAGCAAAACAATACTTGCCCTGTAGGGTTTTGTGAGAATTAGATAACATTTTAAACACTGGACAGACACATAGGCAACACTCTAAATATCATGCATCTACTAAAATGAACATAATGAAGACTTGCAAAATGAAAAAAAATGCCCATGATTTAATGTTAAAGGGAAAAAATATAAAGGAGAATCTTTATAGTATACTCATTTAACATGTGAACCAAGACTGGGAGGAAACATGAAAAATGTAAAAACATGAAAATCTGGCTGGCTCTGTTGGTGGAACATATGACTCTTGATCGCAGGGTCATAAGTTCGAGCCCCACGTTGGGGGTAGAGATTACTTAAAAAATGAATAAAATCTTAAAAAGAAAAATATGAAAGCAGAGTTGTTATTTTTAAACCTTTCTCTCTTTTCTGATATGGTTTTTCAGTTTCATGCCTTTGCCAGAAGACCGGAAAACTGGCAATAATGCTTTTGTACTTCCTTAATTGCTTTTCTTTCTCTTTTTTTCCTCTTCGTATATGTTCACTGGCATCATGTGATCCTTCGATAGCCAAGGGCAACAGTTGTCAGAAACCAAAACTAGAGGTCAGGAGAGGGTGAGGAGGGAAGCAGTGTTCACAGTCCAAGGGTAAGAACAGATTTGAAGGAAAAATTCCTATTCCAACACCTGTTCAGTGCAGTGGCTTGCAAAAGGAATAAAGCCGTTATACACACAACCTTTGCTGGGGAATAGAATAATATTAATAGCTTCACTTAGGTAGGATCACAGAGCAGAATTTTGAAGAAGTATGCTTCTCCTTGATCCCAGAGCTCAAAAATGAGAGGAGTGCACTCCAGGTAATTTGTGCCTGAGTCTTATCAAAACTTATCGAACTATGTCTCTCTCTTTTTATTTAAGATTTTGTTTATTTATTTGAGAGAGAGAGAGAGCACAGGCAAGAGAGAAGCAGAGGGAGAGAGACAAGCAGGCTCTGCCCTGAGTGTGGAGCCTGCCATGGGGCAGGATACCCACAACCCCGAGATCATGACCTGAGCAGAAATCAAGAGTCGGAGGCTTAACCGACTGAGCCACCCAGGCGCCTCTAACCAGGAGATGTCTCTTAAATAGCGGGGGTGGGGAGAAGCACACATCTTCAGAATTCTGCTCTGAGTGCCGCCCTCACAGCCTCACTCGGTGGACAGAAGAAGAAAGGTAAGTGGGAAGAAAGAAGTCAGCTAGCAGAAAGGCGGTAGCACCAATGAAAAGCAACCCGAAGCAAGAGTAAGGGAGCACGTGTCTTCCTCCATCCCGGGGCCAGGTGGCAGGAACTGCTGGGGGCCTTTGCAGGTGCAGATAGTTTGAATAGTCTTGTGCTAGGAAGACTGATTCACAAATATAATGAAGTTAGGCATTGCAACAGATTGTACATGTGATTCTGCACGTGCCCCCAAGGGAGATAGGCTCTGTGGACTTGCTGACAAAATTTTTTGAATCAAAGTATGCAAGATTTCTACACGTGCTGTGCAAACCAGGCAGGTGTATTGAAAGAACCAGCTTAGTCATTGGGAATCTGGTCTGGTGAGCTTAGGAAAGTCAGCTTGGGCACCAGTTTCCGTACCTGTAAATGGAAAGGTTGTGTTCTACCCTGCCAGATCTAAAATGCTAATAAACCCTGAGACTAATTAGAGGACCTATTTTTAAATCTACGTTTTGCAATACTTTTAGATTTCCTGAAAAGTTTTAAAGAGTTCCAGTGTATATTCTTCACCCAGTTTTTCCCAATGTTAACATTTTACACAACTATGGTACATTTATTTATCAAACCTGAGAAAATTAGTGTTGGTATAATACTATTACCTACACTTTATTTGAAGCTCTCTACTTTAAATAAGCTGATGTGACTTTGAGCAAATCTCAGAGGCTTAGTTTTACATGTGCTAAAAAAACATAAGGAAAATAAATTCCTCCTCAGGGTTGTCGTGTGAGAATTAAATGAGATATGGTGGGGGAAATTGATTTTTATACTCTGAAGTGTTATTTGCTCGAATGAGCCACACCTGATAAAAAGTAACTTTTAGGGGTCTTGATAATGAATTTAGCACTTATACCAAGGTGGATAAAATCTGAAGCAACTGTCTGTTGCCCACAGCTGAAACACTGTTCTCAATGTGAAA